CACTCATGATTCTCATTCCGTGGGTCTATGACAGAGACCAGAAACCTGGAGTTTTCTAACAAACACACTTAAGTGACTGATGGAACTAGTCTATGTACTACTCAAGTTTGGAAACATACTGAGCTAACAAAATTAAGAGTACCAATTCTATAGTTAGAGACCAAGGTTTCAGTCCCTGCTCTGACAATTATTAAAAGGATGACCTTGAAAAAATTTCTTGCCATCTCTATTCATCAATCTCCTTATTTGCAAATTTTTTAAATAATTAAAAGAGTGGTAATGTTTTTTGTTTGTTTTTAAATATGTTTTTATTGACTTAAGAGAGAGGAAAGGAGGAGAGATAGAAGCATCGATGAGCGAGAGATAGAAGTATCGATAAGAGAGAATTAATCAGCTGACTCCTGCATGCCCCCTACTGGGAATCTAGCCAGAAAACTTGGCATGTGACCTTACGAGGAATCAAACCAGTGACCTCCTGGTGCATGGGACTACGCTCAACCAACTGAGCAGCACCAGTTGGGTGAGTGGCAATGTTTTTTTATTTTTGCAAATTTTTAAAAATCCATTGGCCTGCTTCATTTTGAATGGATCTTTTACTGATGTTGAGTTTTATAACATCATGTATTGGTAATTCAGAAAATATAGGTTCACTGAATTATACAGATCTTCCAAATTTAGACTCATTATACAAAATCCAAAGTCCAAATCCAAATTAATATATGTACCAATCTAATCAGAAAATCTAAGCTCTGGAAGGTTGTTAAGCCTATGTCGATACAAGTTATCCAAAATGTTTTTTCTTTGAAAAGCTCAAACCTTATCATTGGCAAAAAAAAAAAAAAATACTGTCAGTTGCTCTCCCTGAAGTGACAGACTCACTTTTCATTTTCAAGAAAATGCCTGTCAAATTCATAAGTCTGAGTAGCCATAGTTTGTCAGTTGTTCTTTCAAGTAAAAATTGTGCTCTGCAAAAAAAGGGGGTTAGTTCAGGTCACAAATGAAACAGAAGCAGAAGTACTTGAGGCAACCATGATACTTTGGCATGAACAGAAGAGTTTTATGCAAACTTACCATTTTGTCGTACAAAGTATTAAAAAGGTTTATACTCAAGGGTTGAGACTTTATAAGATACTAATGTGTACTGCTTCACTAAAACACTAAAAAAAAAAAAACTCGGCCCAGCCTAGTGGCTCAGTGGTTGAGCATCAACCCACACACCAAAAGATCATTGTTTCGATTCCTAGTGGGGGCACAGGCCCAGGTTGTGGGCCCAATCCCCCGTAGGGGGCATGCAGGAGGTAGCCAATCAATGTTTCTATCTCTCTCTCCTTTTCCCTTCCTCTCTCTCTAAAATCAATTAAAAGAAAAAAAAAAAAAACCACCAAAAACTAGCTTCTTTTAATTTACTGCGAGTGTGTGAGGGTGAAGAATAAATGGCTACAAGTATGGTTTTATGCCCTTGCTTTTATCAATGCTAAGGCACCAGCTGTTTTATACCACTGTAATTTTTAAGCTATTGATGCAAATGATATGCTGGAAAGGGCAAATAACATGATCATGATCATGATGAAAATTGTTTTGACCCCGCAAACCCCTCAAAAAGAGTCTCAGTCTCAAAACTATTTTTCTATAGACCAGTTTGAGATCTGATGGTCTGTAATTACAGTCCTAAACCTATGCTGAATATGAAGAGATACTAATTTAAAAATACAGATTCCTGCCTAGGTCCAGTCTCCAGAGATTTTATTCTAGATGAGCACCACAATGAAGAATTTTAACAAGTTCCCTGGGTAATTTGAAGTTGCTGATCTCTACTATACTAGCAAATATTTATAAACTGTTTCAAACGTATCTACCATCCCTTTCCTATATTATATATTCTTAATTAAAATATTAATCTTGTTAAAAAAACTTTTTACTATAAATCATACTATAGCATTATCACGATCTCTTAGCCTTGATCCTTCTTGAGGATGCTCATGACATATAAAAAAGATATGTCCTGTTTCCTGCCCTCCTAACTTCAACCTTTACTACATGGTGAAGCTACCTCTAATGTCTCTCCTTCCCAGCTTATTTTATATGAAAGTACAAACATAATTTTTCCTAAATAAAATTTTACTATAACAAAATCTGGCTTAAAAACTTTGAAAGACATTACAGCCTCATCTCTAGATCTTCATTCCTGTAACTTCCCTGTGAGGAACGTACAAGAACCCATTTTCTAACAAGATCTAGCATAAGGCAACTTCCTCAAGAACATTTCTTCAATTTTGATCTTAGATTTAGTGTTAATCTAGGCACAGTTCACACAAATGCGTCTTCCCTGTCTCCTGTGTCTTTCCAAGATGAGAGGGCTTTTGTTGACAAAGACTGTTTTCTCTTTAAGTCCCTGCTTTGGAATGATTTAACCACATATACTATGCCATATATTATGTGACCAATATATGTTATTGATACACTTGTACAAATAAGGACAGACTCTTAATAATACAACAAAACAATGAATTACATATGAAGCAACAGAACACATGTTTAATTTACACTAGAGAATCTGATTCCTACAATATGAAAAAAATGGCCATTAAAGTTGTTGGAGTAATACTATCTATGCAAATAACATGTAATATCATATATTATTTTCTCAGAGTGGCTTTTAAATAAGTTTTTAAAAATCACATTAAACTCCTGTTAAAAGACCTTCACTGCTTATGCGGGGTTTTCTCTAAAGTTGAGATGGCACCTGAGGGCCAGAACTTCCTCTCTGAAGAATGTAGGGTTGCTATTAATCATATGGCATCTTATCAGTGATGCGTATTTATCTATGGCCTGTTATTACAACAAAGGCATGGGAGCACCTCTTTTTGCTGCATTCTCTGAAGACCAAGCTAAAGTGAAGAAGAAACATGCAAAGCAATTCCTAAGATATCTAAGAAAACATGAGAGTAAAATCTGCCTTCCGATGTTGAAGAGGTCTGATATAGATAAATGGGGATCTGGTATACAAGCTCTAGAGTCTGCTCTGCAGTTGGAGAACAAGTTAACCAACCTCCTGCTAGACCTGAAGACTATGGCTTCTGCCAACAAAGAAACTGATCTAACACTTCATGGGAAAGTACCTGGATAAACATAATAGGAACACAGGCTACCTGGAACACTAGCTTACATATCATAAGGGATTAGAAAAGCAGGCCCAGGAAGAAGACCCATTTAAAAAGCCTGCTCAAGTGTTAGGTAAAGAGACATAACATCCAAGGGCAACAAAGCAAGTCTTCCCATTGTAGTAGGTCCCAAAATCAGCTACTTAAGAATCTTAACCTTCTCCATTTGACAGAAGACTGTTTTCCTTCTTTGGTGTATGTACAAATAAATGTTTTTGCATTATTAATTTAAAAAAGAACTTCACTAACAGAAAAAGATATATATGTTATTAATCCATAAATATATTATTTGTCTCTAAAATATAAGGACTCCAAAATAGCTTAACCATAAAGCATTATCACTTGTTTTCAAAAAATCAACAGTAATTCCTAATTATCATCAAATAGCCAGTCAGTTTAAACAGGCCCAACTATACAAATATTCAGAGGTACTATAATATTTGTTACTTCTAATTCTGAAATCGTAGTAAGAATAAAACATGAATCTCTGGCACCCTCTGGTGTTTAAGAACTATACAGCTTCCCTTACTCATACCAGGTATACTGAGAAGCAGAATAGAAAATATGATTTTCCAAATGGAAAAAATCATGAACCAAAAAAAAATTTTTTTTTCAGTTAAACAGGTAGTTTTAAAAAAGTAGGCAGATATCACTGTTATTACACCTCATACAGTTAAGTCAAGACAAGCTTTAATGTCACACACTGATACCTCCTATTATTTAACAAGAGTCAAAATTTCAATGATAATTAAAGTGATATTTATATTAAACATCCAAGAAAGAAAACTTAAATAAAAGGCACCATTCTAAAAAGATGTGTAAACTACCTATGATGAAATTACTGGAGAGCATTATACAAAATGGGAAAATGTAGCTTAGTGCAAAAATAAAAGATACCAACTTTTAAACTGAAATAAAAAGGACCAAGCCATGTGAAGACTGGGGGACAGAGAGTCCAGGGAATATCACATCTGAAAAAATACAGTGGTGATAAAACTGGTATGTTTAAGAACAGAAAGAATGATCTGGCTGGTGTGGCTCAGTGGATTGAGCATTGTCCCATGGACTGAGAAAATTAGAAGTACAGTTTCTACTGAATGCATATAGCTTTCAAACCACCATAAAGTTGAAAAATCTTAAGTTGAACTGTGGTAAATCCAGACATCCAGGACCTTCTGTAGTTAAACATGTACTTATCTAATGACCCAGCCATTATACTCCTAGATATTTACTACAGAAAAATGAGAAATTGTGTTCACAAAAAAACATTTACGTAAATGTTCATAGTAGTTTTATATACATATAAAATTGTGAAAAACTGAAAACCCAATGTTCATCAACAGGAAAAGGGATAAACAAATTTACACTCATACAATGAATACTTCTCCCAATACAAAGAATAATCTTCTAATATTCATAATGACATAGGATATGAATCTCAAAAACATATTGAGTGAAAAAATTCAGACGCAAAAGAGCATATAATGTAACTTTGCATTTATGAAGCTCAAGAATAGACAAAAATGATCTATGGTGATAGATTTAAAAAAAAAAGTGGCTGTAGGAGGCAGGGGTTCGGGATAATTGATTTGAAAGGGCCATAAAAGTGATGAATATGTTCAGCATCTTGATCTAGATTATGTCTACATTCATTGAGATGTACTGTACACTTAAAATATGTGCACTTTTTTGTTTATAAATTATATTCAAAGTACTGCTAGCTTTTTAAAATGCATAAATATATTTATTTATTATAAGTATTATTCTGTCATCTCTTTTCTTTTTTTAAAATATTACTTCCTTAAACCAAACCAAGTTTTAACTATTTATTTTCTTTACCTCAAGAATGTTGTTCCATTCTCTTTTATTTTATTTTTCTGAATAGAAGATCCTTGAAGTGGCAGAACTTTATTTCCTGGCAGGGTAATTTGTTTTAGAATGGAAGCTACAAAAACAAAGAAGAAAGAAAAAAGTACAATAAAAAAAAAAAGGCAATCACACAACATTAAGAAAAATTCAGGACAATAGCTTTTAATACACATAGAATAATCAAAGAAAATTTCAAACTGTCCTAAAACAATGTTTAAATTCAAACTTGAGAATGAACTGAATGACATGCACATGAAATCATTTACTAAAATCAAAACCTCCAGTCTTCAAATTGTCTGCAGAATTACCAGCACTATAAAAATATTATGCAGAAAGGGGGATAGAAACATGTTAATAATATATCATTTATATTGGTATATTTTCAAAATACATAAAACTGCCCTGGCCAGCTTGACTCAGCGGTTAGGGTGTTGTCCCACAAACCAAAGAGTCTCATGGTTGATTCCAGTCAAGGGTACATACCTAAGTTGCGGTTTGTCCCCAGCCCTCGTTGGGGTCATCTGGGAGGCAACCAGTTGATGTGTCTCTCTCACATCGATGTTTCTCTCTCTCTCTCTCTTTCTCTCTCTCCCCCTCCCTTCCACTCTATTTGAAGATAAATAGAAAAATATCTTTAGGTGAGGATTAAAAAAATAAAGTAAAAATACATAAAACCTCTAAATTTTACATGTAAGACTAATTCACAAACCTAGAGAAAGCAGCAGATTTTTAAAAGAAATAAGGCTACAGGAAATTTGATAAGTTAACAAAGCACTTCTACTGGGTTGTTTTATCTGATTACAAATACTGTGAAAAGTTGCTTCTTTTATTCTAAAACAACATATACCACTAAAAAGTGGCTATGTATGTATAAGGAATATAGTTATCTTTCAACTTTCTATCAATGGTCCCAACATAAAAGACCAAATCTCTCATCTCTTAATATAACAATAAAAAAAAGTATAAAACCCCATCGTGTTTCAAACCCAGTGTGATGTGTCAGAGTCTACCTGGAGGTGACTGATGGGTAGTTACTGCAGTGTTCACAGGCATCTTCTGTCCAGATTTCTGAATGGTCAATGCTGAAGAATGGGAAAGTGTACCCACTTGTTTTGCAATGCCTCCTGAAGGCTGCTGGACTACCTGAAACAATGAGAACTATAATTATAGCCTTTTAACCAAACCTGCTTTGTTGTGACAATAGAACAAATTGTGCTCACCTAAACTGTAAATACACCTTGACCTTAGCATAACAAGAATGCCTACTTAAAATTTAAATTTGTATGTAACAAAAGTATCTTGTTCAAAACTGAAAAACATGACTATCTCACACATTTTTGTTATTTTTTAGAGTGGAATTCAAATTTACAAAACATACTGCCCAATTTAAACCTCCATATGCATCCTATTTTCATTTTTTAACTTTTATCACGGACTATTTCAAATATATACAAAAGTGGAAGAAACAAGAAAACAAAACAACCTATGCCATTATTACCCAGATTCAACAATGATTAATTCTTTACCAATCTTGTTTTCCCTAGATCCCCACCCACTTTCCTACCATCTCCATTATTTTAAAGTACATCCAGATATATCTCCAAAGGATAAGGACTTTTAATGGATCCCCACCCCCCCACCCCCCAATATCTGGAAAATGACAAGCTAAAGAGGCATTCTCCAAAATAAACAGTTCAAGAAGTTCAGAGAGTGAGTATGCAAAAATATAACAGCCTTGAAGTCCACCCCTCAGGTAGGCAGGGAGAAGGGCTCCAAGGGACCAAGAAGGACCTGTGGGAGTGTGAGTTAGGGGGGCCAGCCCCACTGGACCAGATCTTATTATAATACCCTGGCAAAGGACAAGCTTGGGAAAGGTAAGCCTCATTGGCAACCTCCATCTGGTGCTGTGCGAGTCCTGGTCTATAAATCAAACAGGGTCAAGTCCATGCCAGTGGTGAGAGACAAAGGTGCTAGTTAAAAACCAAACCAAGCACACACACACACACACATATGTACACATATAAAGTAAATAAATGATATGGGATATTTATATCTATATATATATATATTACAAGTTTTGAGCTAGGATTCATAATCTTGGATCCCCATCATTGCTCATCTTAATGACTGTAACACCTGGGCAGCATATGTGAAGCATACTTCTGCACATTTGGTGTACAAAGTAAAATATGAGTGAATATATGTAAGAGAATTCATTAGTGTTCTTTCAAAGAAAGTACCATTTGGAACTACAGCACAAAAGTGGGCAAAAGTAGGTTTACAGCTGTAAATACACAAAACATTTTATTCTTGTATTATTTATTATTGTATTATTTATTACTATCATTATTGTTAACCTACTTTTGCCCAACCGCATATTAGGCATCTTATGGGGATAAAATTATCTTAGAGATATGGAAATTGGCCCAAAGAAGATATATTTGCTACTACTTAGCAAGCAAAAGAGAGCTCTTATATTTTTCAAAATTTAAGTCCTTTATTTTTACTCCAAAACACTGCTAGAAAGGGAGAATAAATACCTGAGCTTCTTCTCTTGACATATCAAATCCTGATGGTTTATATGGATGTTAACAAATTAATTTCTAGTCATTTACAGAAAATACAGGTCTAAAGCTACACAATATTCTTTAGGTGATGGGTTTTTTTTGTTTTGTTTTTACATTATGATTTTTATATAACTATGATCCGGGATATCTGACAATAAATTTTTCTTAAATTCCATATGGAAAGGAACAAAGAAGCACAAGTATGGATTAAACAAGCAGATGAGAGCAGGCTTCACACTTTGCTTTCTCTGTATGTCATCCCTCACCCACTCCCTGTTTATAAATACACAGCAATCAAATACTTATCTTTGAATAACTCAAGCAGTATATGCACACAAAGTTACTAGAATCAAGGGTAATATTTCCTCTCATTTCTATTCAATATGTGATTACTGGCATGCACTCACTAAGGCTGAATTCTAGAAAATATAGGGCCCCAACTAAACAAAAACTGTAACATAGGAGTCAAAAAATACATGTTAGTTGCCAACTATTTCTCAGGAACAGCAATGCACAGGTCTTGTGCCACTATTCCTTATCTTCTGAGACAACAGCATACTCCACTAAATGTACCCACATCCAGCCCCAGAATATCTCTGAAGACAAAGCTCAAGTAAAACCCTACAGTGGGAGTCGATATTAATTTGCCATGCCCAATCTAGATTAAAACCCAACCTCAGAATATGCTGTTTCTTTACTTTCAAGAGTCTTCTAAATACTTTTTAAATTTTGCTAAAATAATAAAAAAAATTTTAGGTGGGTTAATCCTCACCTGAGGATATTTTTTTCAATGATTTTTAGATAGAGTGAAAGAGAGGGAGAGAGAGAGAGAAACACTGATGTGTGAGAGACACATAGATTGGTTGCCTCCCACCCAACCCCGACTGGGGCTGGGGATCAAACCTGTGACCCAGATACATGCCCTTGACCGGGAATCGAACCCACGACTCTTCGGTCCAAGGGCCGACACTCTAACCACAGAACCAAACTGGCCAGGGCTAAAATGGATTCTTAATTATATTATCAGATTTTATAGAAATCAATAAATGCTGCTTCATATCAAGAACCTATAAATTTCTGTTTAAAAATTTTTAATGTAATTAAGTTCTAGAAGAAGCAAAATTAATCTGTGGGAGAAACGATCATAAGAGTCGTTGCTTCTGGGGGAATGTGGGTGGGAACTGACTGGGAAGGGACACAGGGAACTTCAAGGGGATAGTAACATTCTATACCTTGATAGGGGCTTTGAGTTACACAGAACTATGCACTAACTCAAAACTTATGCTAGTGTATGTAAATTTTAGCTACAGAGAATAAAAAAGAGTAAATAATATTAAACTGTAGTTAATAATGTGCATATTTAATTATTTAGGAAGAAGTCTTTGCAATGCATCAAAAATTAAGATGACTGGATAAATACATAATAAATCAAGTGTACTAACTGTACATAGTAAAATCTAGGTGGTTAGTATATGGGTGTAAACTATAAGCTTCAACTTTGTTATGTATAAAATTTTTTATAATAAAATTTTTTATTGAATAATGCAAAAATAAGATGATATACATATAATGTATGTAATTATTTCTAAATAGTTTATTTTCCATAAATTCTAATGTACCCTTATCAAATATATATATATATAAATAAAATAGTCCTCAAGTAAATTTAAATGAACTAGCATTAACCAACCTATATATTAAGACTTTTATTATATAAACTTCAATTCAATGATGGCCCATGAAGAATTTTCTAAGCAACTGCTAATTACATATGGTAAGTAAGGGGTAGGCCTTACTTGGATTTAACCTCTTTCTTCACCAAACCTTTCATTTGTCCTATTAAAGTCATTATAATCAACAACTGAATTCTGCCTCTCCTCTCACTCTTAACAGAATCCAGAAACAAGAAGAAAAAAGACAAACAGCTTAAGTTTGGATCCTAATAGGTCAGTTCAATATGAAACAGAGAGTGAACTATTTGATCCAATAAAACAACCAATGATTCTTCTCTTTTTCCTATTCAATTAAAATTACCTCAATTTTAATGAAAATACTGGCCACCAACATACTCAGAGACTAAAATTTACATCTTGAAAATATTTCTCTTTATCTAGTGAGAACTGAAGTCAGAGATAATGAGCAGAATTAAATCTCACAGAGAACTTCACATAAAAATGTATGTTAAAAATTCTTTAACGGTTCCCTATTACTTCAAAATAATTAGGTACATGATGTAACAACAAAATTTTTTTCTAATATTCTGGGTCTATTTTAGATCAGATTTATTTCAATATAATGAAATGGGACACTGCCACTTTAGTAATACACGAATAATTATTTGCTTTTCACTTATATCCACAGAACAGTAATATTTAGAGAATGATTGTTGAACATACGTGGCCACTTATTTATCAAATGCCTATAATTCTATTAAGGAAGAAATGCAATTAATAGAGAGAGCACTTCAGGGAGTTATATATGTATTTAAAATAAGGAAAATACCTATGACAATATTAAAATTTCCTGCCCTAACTACAAGTATAAATTACTCTTAGAGATATTCAAGTGATATATAAATACAAAATTATTAACAGTAATGATATTCAACATATGAATATTCAATAATAATCTTCAATATTCTAAAATTATAATAAGCCGCCCTGGCCAGTTTGGCTCAGCAGTTAGAACGTCGGCTTGTGGTCCAGAGAGACCCGGGTTCGGTTCCCGCTAAGGGCACGTGCCTCGGTTGCAGTTTGTCCCTGGCTCTGGTTGGTCGTGCGGGTGGCAGCCACTCGATGTGTCCCTTTCGTGTCGATGTTTCTCTCTCTCTCTCTTCCTCTCCCTCCCTCCCACTCTATCAGAACAAAAAATGGAAAAATGTCCTTGGGTGAGGATAAAATAAAATAAAATAAAATAAAATAAATAAAATTATAATAAGCCTTTTATTCACAAAACAGATCAGCAATTCTGAATTAACTTTCTCATTCTCGAATTTTACTCACAAGCCATGGATTTGAGAGGCTTATTGTTTAATTTGTTGTAGTAAAATTGGTTATTAAAATGTATCAAAATTTAACTTTAAAAATGATCAAACTAAAATTTTGGTTTTCTAAATTAAATTAGCTTTTGCTAATTTAGTTTAAATGTCATGAGAATGATCATCTTTTATTTTATTATTATTATTATGTTTATAAATCCTCACCTGAGGATATGCTTTTCATTGATTCCAGAGAGAGAAGGGAGAGGGATGGAGAGAGAAATATTAATATGTTGCCTCCGGGATGCACCCCACCCAGGGATCAGACTGAAACCTGGGTATGTGCCCTGACTGGGATTTGAGCCTGAGACCCATTTGGTACACAGGATGATGCTCTAACCAACTGAGCCACACCAGCCAGGACAACAGTCTTTAATTTAAATTAAATTTAGTTTTCGCTCAATCATTAATTAAAGTTTTTTCACAAATATCCCATGAAAAACTTTTAAGCATTAAAACTCCTGAAAGTTCCACTTATTCTCTATCCATCATGGGTAGACTATAATCCAATTCTTCTACTCTCTTTCATTAACTTTAAACAAATGCTAAAGTTCAACATTAACTAAAAATGTTAAGTTCAACATTTAGTTGTGGTGTATAACATTATATAATAACAACTATGCCAGACTTAATAGATAACTAATACGATCAACCATTTATAAGAACTAGATTCTGAGGTGAAATCCCAAGAACTGCTAATTAGGTCCATATTTCAACAATTTAAGCATATGAGGACCAAGACATACAAAGAACTGCACTTTGGGTACAAAATAAAAAACTTACCCCTGAAAAAACTGAGCAATCTTCTTCATTTATTTAATGAGAGCTTCAGAAAATCTCCAGAGGATAACATACAATACTAATCAATAAGATACCATGTACAGTAATAATAAATCTAGAAATTTTTTTAAATTGGGAAGGGATGCCCTGGCCAGTTTGGCTCAGCAGTTAAAGCGATGGCCCGAGGACCAATGAGCTGTGGGCTCGATTCCGAACAAGGGCATGTACCTCTGGTTGCAGTTCATTCCAGATCCTGGTCAGGGTTGTGAGGGAGGCAACCAGTCAGTATGTCTCTTTCACATCGATGTTTCTCGCTCTCCCCTTCTCTTTCTTTTCCTCCCTCCCTCCCTTCTACTCTCTCTAAAAATCCTCTTGGATTTAAATATGTAGACTATAGTTGTTGATATATTAATATTTATGTCAGTGAAATTACTACAGTGTTTTTCCCAACATATGGCCTATTCACTAAAATTTATTAAAAATAACAGTGAATTAATAACAAAAAGATAACCTGTTAATTTCATTATAAGCAAACCTTGGTTAAAAGCCCAGCCAGTGTGGCTCATTAGACTGATCGATGTCCCATGGACCAAGAGGTGTTTGTTAGATTGCCGGTCAGGACACAAGACAGGGTTTCGGGCTTGATCCCCAGTAGAGGTAGTGCAGGAGGCAACTGATGGATGTTTCTCTCTCACATTGGTGTTTCTATCTCTCTCTTCCTTCCTCTCTCCCAAAAAAAAAAAAAAAAATCAATAAAAACATTTATTTTTAAAAAAGTATGTTAAAATTAACAGGGTGTTTTCACATATGACATAGGGAATGGAAATTTTGTCCATTAAATCAAAGTCCGCAAAATTGAGGGTTTTACTGTACAAGCTAGAATGAAGTAGAAAGGGAAATTTTAAAATACATGATCAATTATTAAAGAAAATTACACAATTTTTAAACCTAGTATTGAACATGATAGCCATACTTGTATTCTTCAGATCATTTTTGGAGATTCGATTTGTATGAATCACAGAGTTGATCCAGTGTGGCAATTCCTGTATTTTAAATCATTATTTGCCATAATTCTTCTAAACTGCATTAAATATATACTTGGTTTTTAGCACCATGAGTGCTTTCCACCTCACTTAGACCTAGGATCACACTGAACTATGGTTTACAATGGACACACTGATGATATTAAATCTTTCGAGAAACAGTAATTCAAATTTGAGTAATATTCATTTTCTAAATTAGCTGATTTGAAAGAATATCCTAGTTCAATCCTCTCTGCGACATTAACATACAGAGTAGTTTAAATTGTTTTGCGCCCCAGGTAAAAATCTGTTGAAAACAAAATTAGAATGTATACTCAGTGTCTAGCTGCTCTGTTTTTTGCTATTTGAAATTGGAAGGTTTGAATACTGACATCAAATTTGTTGACTAAAATTGAAATAAAGGCCAAACAGGAAAGCAGAATTCACAAGTAAAATTAAATTATTCCCCATTCTTTTTTTTTTTTTTTTATTTCAAAGAGAGAAGGAGGGTAGAGGGAGAGGGAGGAAGAAACATAGATCGGTTGCCTCCCATATGCACCCTGGATGGGGATTGAACCCAAAACCTAGGTATGTGCCCTGACTGGAAATCGAACCCTCAACTTTTCGGTATATGGAACAATGCTCCAACCACCTAAGCTGTAGTGGCCAGGGCCACATTATTTTAAGAATGAAAGTAGAATGGACATAGACAGCAATACTGTGAAGTGGGTGTGGGAGCGAGGAGGAGAGTGTCAATGTTCTGAAGAAAAAAAGGAGAAACATCTGTAACAAAAATAAATGAATAAAAAAATAAATTTAAAAAAAAACAAAGAATAAAAGTAGGAAGTTAAAAAAAAGTCCCTAATATTTACCATTGGATTTTGTTACATTTTTCTTGATTGAAATAGTTTCTAATGGATTACAAGTCAAACCTACAAAATATAAATGCTTCCAAGATATTATTACCAGACAGTTATCTGTTGCAAGACACTCCAGAAATCTAGAAGTTCTTGCCATAAGCACTATAACCTAATGGGCAGGACACTGGGATCCATTATTCATTGAGTATCAGCAGATGATTGAAGAATCAGCTATGACTCAGGAAAAGGATTTCAATTCTATTCAGTGCTACCAAAAAGAGGCCTTTCCTTGTGGTAATTACTCTGTTCCAGTGGTTCCCAAACCTCATTAATATTTAAAAATCACCACTTCTTGCCCTGGCTAGTTTGGCTAAGCAATTAGAGCGCTGGCCCACCAACCAAAGGATCTCGAGCTTGATTCCTGGTAAAGGGTACATACCTGGGTTGCAGGTTCGATCCCCGGCCCTGGTCAGGGCGCATGCTGGAGGTAAAATTTAATGTATCTTTCTTTCCTACCCACACTCCCTCCCTCCCTCCCACTCTATCTAAAAATCAATAAAAAAAAATATCCTCAGGTGAGGATTAACAAAAAAATAAATAAAAATCACTGCTTCTAAAAGGAATCATCTCTGAGATTAAATTCAGACACTCAGGAGAAACTCTGCAAGGCAGGTACAGTCTCCGTTTGAAAATCAAATCCAGAGTAGAAAGAGATGAAAAAATATTAGTATCCAGGAAATGACTATTACTTCCCACCTACTCAAGAATTAGATGGTTGTCCAAGTTGATTTTTCCCCTTTCATTCTACACCCAAAGCTGTCTTCTGCTTCAAAGACAATCATCCACAAAACCTAACCTCCTCTCCTGATCACACAGACAAAACTAGGAAGTTTACTTAGATTTTACTATTCTAAAAAGCGGAATAAACTTAAAAAAGAGAGAGTCAAAACACAGCCTTTACTACGAAGCCTTACAAAAGAGAACAAGGGCAACCATCAAAACTAAAAAAATAGCTAACTTTATTATTGTAAAAAGTAGGGAAAAACTTTAAAAGAAAACAAGAGTTTTGCCCTGGCCAGTTTGGCTCAGTGGTTAGAGCGTCAGCCTGCGGTCCGGAGAGACCCGGGTTCGGTTCCCACTAAGGGCACGTACTTCGGTTGCAGTTTGTCCCAGGCCCTGGTTGGTCGTGCGGGTGGCAGCCACTCGATGTGTTCCTTCACGTCGATGTTTCTCTCTCTCCCTCCCTCCCACTCTATCTGTACAAAAAATGGAAAAAATATCCTCGGGTGAGGATTAAAAAAAAAAAGAAAACAAGAGTTTTAATTAATTCACCATGTGCTATCTCACACAGGTTAACAATACTTTCATAGTCTTCTGATAAAACTTGTCTTACTGAATAAAGTAGAATATTCTAAACACTGATTGGTAAACAGCTAAGATTTCTTTCACCTAAGAACCTCCCAATCTACCAAATTTAGAAAACAACACAACTTACTTATCTACTCCCTTCACCATGTCCCTATCCCCTCAATGCATTTTTTAAAGAAATGTTACCATAATATCACCAATGTAAGAACTCTGCTAAAGCCCTGGCCGGTTTGGCTCAGCGGTTAGAGCGTCGGCCTGTGGTCCTGAGAGACCCGGGTTCGGTTCCCGCTAAGGGCATGTACCTCGGTTGCAGTTTGTCCCCGGCCCTGGTCGGTCGTGCGGGTGGCAGCCACTCGATGTGTCCCTTTCACATCGATGTTCCTCTCTCTCTCTCTGTTCCTCTCTCTCCCTCCCACTCTATCTGAACAAAAAATGGAAAAATGTCCTCGGGTGAGGATTAAAAAAAAGAACTCTGCTAAAATATTTCATCTGTATCTAATCTTGAAGAAACAATCAGACAAAACAGAATACAGGACATTCTGCAAAACAATTAGCCCAGGCACTTAAAATATTACAACATAATAAACAACCACAAAGGCTGGGGAACTGTTCCAGATTAAAGAAGCCTAAAGAGAAATGACAAGTAAATGTAACATGCAATCCTGTATTAGAAAAAACATCAGAAAAACAAATAGCTATAAAGGACACTGTTGGGACAACTGTGGAAATATATATTGTACCAATATTAACTTCCCAAGTATGTTAAAAAAAAAACAAAAAAAAAAACTTTTCCTTAAGGGATACACAGCATGTAGGGGTGTAATGTCCAATTTCTGCAAGCAACTCTCAAATGGTTCAGGAAAAATCACATGTGTGTGTTTTGTAGTATGTGAACAGAGAGAGAGAGAACAAAGCAAATATGATAAAGCATTACTAGTCTTGCCAGTTTCATGAATGTTTACAATTTTCAAAATAAGAAACTGAGAAAGAAAATGTTACTCACTAGTTGTTTGAATTTAACCGCCTGTGGAATACCAGCTGGTTGCGAAAGGATGGGCCCTGGCTGTGCGAGTTTGATTTGTATTGGAGTGCCAATGACAGGCTTGTCACATGTGGCCCCAGCAGAAGTAACGACAGGTTTCACAGATGGAAGACAAATAGCTGATGCTGAAGCTTCTCCAAAAGTTACTGATGGAAGGGCCAAAGTTACTCCTGCCCCAGAGACGACTGGTTTTTCAGGTTGAAGTGAGACTGTTGTAACTGTATTTTGTATAGATGTCACAAGCGGTTTTGGAGTCTGAAGCAAAACGGTTCCAGCTGTTGTTCCTCCTGCTACAGCAGCTGGACCCACAGAATGAAGTGTCACAACTCCAGTTTTTGCCCCCCCTGGACCAGCAAGTGAATTCAGGCTTTGTACTGACACAGTTCTAGGTGCTGTTGTTCCAGAAACAATGACGGGCTTTTCAGACTGGACTGAGGAAACTGTTGTTGTCACCACAGAAGTTGTTACTGGTTTGGTACAGGTAGCAATGACTACCTCGCCAGAAGTCTGCTGAACACACTGCTGAATAAAGCTCTGGGAGTTAGGCATGAGTTGTCGTAAGGCACTCACACTTTTCTAGAAACAGGGAAGGGGGGAAAAACACTGATCAACTAAGTAGATTAGTAAAATAGAACTACTTTGTATTTCACATCTTTATAACATACAGTAATTCAAGTGTTTCTGATACCACTTATTTATATCCTGTCAATATCCAAGATTCAATTTATTTAAAACCTAAAAAAACTTTATTTTTCAATATGAAATTATTATGTCTCAGTATTAAACTTATTTTGTATACGGAAAATCAATGTGTTAAAATAAAATAGTTCCACACTTGTTTGTATTCATCTAACCCCCATAACAGATCACTAATAACATCAGTTTCTGTACATTTGTTTATACAAAAGCAGACTAAAAAAATATTTTGTTAAATAACTTTCAAAATTTTGACAGAAATAATCTTCACATTAAAATAAAGCTAATACAAACAAGGCCAATTTTGTTAATTGAGCTAGAATATTTTCTGACTGGATTTTTAAGTTTGTGTTTATCTTTGTATCCTGCTAAAAGAGTTAAAGACAGTTCAGGCTAAAAAGTAAAAGGTTCTGCCTTTCACCCCTGGGGTGTTGTTTGTTTTTAAGTAAGAAAAAAGATGAAAAAGTAAGTGGATAGTAGGTTATCTCTTGGCAAGTTCATGGGCTGTTTTGAAAGATTTTCTTGTTTTGACAAATTGTGAGACTACTATTATTTATAAAGCAAATGAGCCCAACCGGTGTGGCTCAGTGGATTGAGCGCCATCCCATGGACTGGGAGGTCCTGATTTGATTCCTGGTTAGGGTACATGCCCAGGTTGTGGGCTCGATCCCCCAGTGTGGGATATGCAGGAGGCAGCTGACAGATGTTTCTCTCTCACACTGATGTTTCTATCTCTCTCTCCCTTCCTCTCTCTCTCTAAAAAAAAAAAAATTTTTTAAATCAAACAAGAACTATTGCTCCTCTTCCTTTCCTTTCCTTTAATTACTTTTTACTTTTTTATTAGAAGAAATGATAAAATTCTTATCTAAAGAGGTTTTCAAATATATATAAAAATAGTAATAAATAAGTCTCTCCATAATCTTTAATCCAAACTTTAAAGAAAAGTAGAAGAAAATACATTGCTTTAAAAATATATAAACAAAGTAATTTGATTAAATTTAAGTTAGAAATCTAAGATAAGGGGGGTCCTGAGAAAAACACAATTGGGAAGAAATGTTAAAGTAATAAGATGTAAAGAGACACTTAAATTATCTCTTGATGTCCTTGCCAGAGTTAAGAATAAAGGCTGAATACCTCATCCCTATGCAACATCCAAACCCCAAAAGCTCCCAAAAATGGGGGGGAGGGGGACTATCAAGAAAAAGCATACGGCTTACTAGGTCCTTAGAAAACAGAAGCAAAATCTAACTAGTTCACAGTAATTTTTGGTAACTTAAGGTAGCAAGTAGACTCATATAGGCTAAACAATAGACCTGTGAGTTTGGTCAAAAGTTTGTCAATTTACATGATTTTCTCATCCCTAAAATGGAAAATATTATCTAGCAGCCATTCTCAAAAGATTGATATGAAAATCAAGTGCAAACAATGAAATTAAAAGTAAACTATCTAGCCCGGCCAGTGTGGCTCAGTGGTTAAGCATTGACCTATGCCCTGGGAGGTCGCCAGTTCAATTCCCACTTAGGGCATGTTGCGGGGTTGTGGCCCTGATCCCCAGTAGGGAGGGCATGCAGGAGGCGGCCGGTCAATGCTCTCTCTCATTGATGTTTCTATCCCTCACTCCCTCTCCCTTCTCTAACATCAATAAAGAAAGAAAAAAGTTATCTATCTAGCAAAGCATTAGACACATAGTAGGTGCTTACGAATTTCTCTCCTTCTTCATGGTATTCCCAGTGAATATGAAATGGAAATAAACTCAGAAGAACTGTCAATGTCATGCAGAGCACCTATGGCTCACAGAACCTCTACACTGAAAGGGACCCAAGGAAGAATGCCTCTAACCACTCAATCAAGAAGGTCATCTGAAAACAGGGCACACTAGTCGTTTGATGTTAGGTATTATGCTGACCCTTCACAACCTTCCCTTTTCCAGACCATGTCTTCTCTAGTTAAAACATTCTGTTTCTTTAGTCACACTTCTTATCACACAATTAGTACTCTCCTAATCAATGTGGGGACAGTTTCCACTATTCTAACATCCTTCTGAGAATATGGTTCTCCATCTCCCTTCCCACTCTTTTTCCACGAGGCAATCAAAAAAAGTCTTGCACTTTGAAGCCTCTTTCCTGCCCCCTAGCCAATTAAGCCAAATGTTTCTAAAGGCAATACCTCATTCCATTATTTCAAAATTTATGGAATGAGTCTTTGGGTCACTATAGTCTTTAACAAATTTCAAATTGATTCCTTTTCTGCTTGTGAGTATCCAAAATATTTATTTTTAGTTGCCCAAACCAAGCTCTTATTATCAGAGTTATTGTTCTCCATCAAAAGTCTATTTAATTCAATAAATATGCCTACTAACAAACTATATTTTTGTTTCTTAATCCTCACTCAAGGATATTTTTTCCACTGATTTTTAGAGAGAGTGGAGGGGCGAGGAGAGGGAGGGGGAGAGAAACAGCTATATTAGAGAGACACATCTATTGGTTGCTTCCTGCATATGCCCTAAACAGGGCTAGGGATAGAACCTGCAATCCAGGTACATGCCCTTGACCAGGAATCAAATCCAAGACCCTTTGGTGTGCGGGCCAATGCTCTATTCACTAAGCCACACTAGCCAGGGCCAAAATAAATTTTTTAAAATAGCCTTCCCACTAAATTTGGCATTATGTGGTTTATTTCTAAAAGAATATGAGTCATTAGGACAAAGAAGAAGGCCCTATTTTTTTTTAAATGTCAAGAATTTTGCATATACAAGAATTAAATAACATAATCAAGTTATAGTCGTCACTCAGATGTTACTTCTGCTTTCCCAATGTGTTCCAAACCAAAAAATATGAACTATCAACATGATTTACAGATTACAACACTGACAGGTTTCTCCTATATTGTTAGTTATCTTCACTTTAAGTTGCTGTCATACTGAAATACTCAGGATTTAAATTATTTTAAAGTAATCTAATACAAAGAATTTTTTCAAAGTAGTAAATACTCTACCTTAAGAAAAGGAACTAGGTGAGGCTGAGGTGAGGACTTGAGTTCAATATACAGTTGTCTAGTAAATTCTTCTGCTTCTATTTTTGCATCCTGTGGATGGGAGAAAGAAAAGCACTTCTAAGTCTACAAATATTTTAAAACAGGAGCAGTATGTAATTCATGACTGTAGACATAACAAGCTTTGAAGAGTGATAAAGTCCATCAATAAATGAAGGCATTTTTTATCATGTCACTTGTGAAATGAATAAACATAAATAATTGAGATGTTTGTTCACACAGGGCTGATCCCAATAAGCAAAATAAGAATAGAGCTGGCAGCCTGAATAAAGCTACTGCATTATAGTCTGTGAAGAATAATTAAGAAGTGAAGACACAGGAGTTCTAAATTCCTTAGGGTAGAGAACAGAATAAGAATGTATTTTTTATTTATTTTTTGGTATGTGCCCCTAGTGGGAACCAAACCTGGGACTCTCTGGTCGGCAGGCTGACACTCTAACTGCTGAGCCAAACTGGCCAGGGCAAGAATGTATTTTTAGAATGCTGTTATAAGGCCATAATAACAGATATACTATTATTCCAAAGGACTTAGGAAGCCTTCCATACTGGCCTACATTCTAAGCATTTCAGGGGTCTATGAGATCAAAATTATTTTCATATTAACACTAAAAAGGGGTTTTTTTGGCCTTTTTCACTGTGCTGAGATTTGCACTGATAGAACAAAAGCAACAGTAGGTAAAATCGCTAGCAAGAAAGACAACAGCAACAAACTGAAACAGGTGTCATCAGACTCTACATCACTACGCACTTGTGGTAAAAAACAAAAAAAAGAGCCAGTTTTATTTTAAAATGACCTCAATGAAGCAGTAAAACTTAATTTTACTAAATCTCAACCCTTCAGTAGACATCTTTTTAATAATGTGTATAAGAAAATGGGAACCACACAAAGAAACAGTTCTGCTGCAGACCAAATTAAGATACTCAAGGAAAAGCAGTTTGTGATTGAGTTGCTAAGTGAACTAGTTGATTTTTTTTCTTTTCATTTTTTCATGTACTGGTATGAATGTCAAGCCAATTGTGGTTATTCAGAAGACTTGGGTATTTGATTGATAGGCATTTTCCCAAAAACAAACAAACCTAACCTGTCACTATAAAGAAAGGAACTGATAGTACTTTTTGCTAATGATAAAAATTAGAGCTCTCGCCCTGACTGGTTCGGCTCAACGGTTAGAGCATTGGCCCTTGGACCAATGAGTTGTGGGTTCAATTCCGGTCAAAGGCACGTACCTCGGTTGTGGTTTGTCCCCGGCACTGGTCAGGTCATGCAGGGGGCAACCAGATGATGTGGCTCTATCACGTCGATGTTTCTCTCTGTCTCTCTCTCCCTCCCTCCCTCCCTCCTTCCCACTGTATCTAATGATAAACAGAAAAATATCCTCGGGTGAGGGATAAAAAATAAAAAAATAGAGCTCTCAAGTCATAATTTTATTTTTTTTTTATCCTCATCCAAGGACATTTTTCCATTTTTTGTACAGACAGAGTGGGAGGGAGAGAGAGAAAGAGAGAGAGAGGGAAACATCGATGTGAAAGGGACACATCGAGTGGCTGCCACCCGCACGACCAACCAGGGCTGGGGACAAACTGCAACTGAGGTACATGCCCTCAGCGGAAACCGAACCCGGGTCTCTCCGGAACGCAGGCGGACGCTCTAACCGCTGAGCCAAACTGGCCAGGGCTCAAGTCATAATTTTGGAATATTCATATCCATAATCCTGAGTTTGATAGCTTCCTAGTACTTAAAGAATTTCCTTATGAGATTGTTGGTCAGATTACAAGGATCATTGTTTGATATCTTTTTTTTTTATCCTCACCAGAGAACATTTTTCCATTTTTTGTTTAGGTAGAGTAGGAGGGAGAGCGAGGAAGAGAGAGAGAGAGAGAAACATCGACGTGAAAGGGACACATCAAGTGGTTGCCACCAGCACAACCCAACCAGGGCCAGGGACAAACTGCAACCAAGGTATGCACCCCTAGCGGGAACCGAACCCTGGTCTCTCTGAACCACAGGCCGATGCTCCAACCGCTGAGCCAAACCGGCCAGGGCCATTTTTTGATATCTTAACAAATCCATCAACATGTGGAAGATCTGCACAATTCGGTAAACCAGTATTTTCTAAATAACCAAAACGCACTGTTACAATAGTCATACCTGGGTAAAAGATCCACTCAGAGTGCAAGATAAACTGGTGGATCTAAAGAATATCCACAATGATTTGGGAAAAGATGCTTTAAATACTCACTTTTCTAATCAATTCTCTGCATGAGATCAAATATTCTCCAAATACTTCAACCAAAACAAATGTAGAGGCAGATGTTAGAATCCAGCTATCTTCTACTAAGTCAGACATCAAAGAGATTTGCAAAAATATAAAACAATGCCACTCTTCTCACTCAAATTTGTTTTGAAACTATAGTTTTCATTTACATGTTGTTTATTTGTTATTTTTAAATAAATTAGTAAATAAATTTTTTTTTTAATTTCTCAGCTTTAATCTCAGTCCCACAACAACGAATGCATGTGGTAGTCTTCAATTTTTAAGAATATAAAGGTATTCTAAGACCCAAATGTTTGAGAATTGCTATTTGTTGTTCTAAGCTAAATAGATCTTAAGCTAGAAGGATATTTGATTAATTCTTGACTGCTCCTAGCTGTCCATAAAATTCACAGAAATTTTTTGTACCTATAACTGTTTCAATGTTTTCTTGAATACATGTTCCTTTCCATCATGCCTCTCAATTTAGGGAATTCCATTTCAGAGAAACAAGCCACCTTTCAAAACTAGCATATCTTGAAAATGAAAGACCAAAAGTTCAATGTTTACTTTAAAAAGTCTCTCAAAATTAAAAACTTATTTATATGATTTATCATTTTAAATATGTAAAAGTTTTACCAAATAGAAAATGAATCATTCCAAATGTGCTTTATTGCTAATACATAAGTAGCATACAAAACAGTAATAAAGAAGATATTTTAATATTTATAAACAATGGTTAATTTTCTGTACACTATTTGAAATATAGTGGATCCCTGAACAAAATGGGGGGGACACCAACCATTGGGCAGTAGAAAGTCTGTGTATAACTTCCTATAACTTTTGACTCTACAGTCAAACCTTCACGTCCTTGAGTTCAACCAACCAAGGATCAAACACAGTACTTTTGACCCATAGTTGGGAATGTGAAAATACTTTTCAATAGCAGTTGGTTCAATCACAGATGTGAAACGCACAGATACAAAAGGCCAACTATATTTATTGAAAAATAATCAGCAAATAAGTGGACCCACTCAGTTGAAACTCGTGTTGTTCAAGAGTCAACTGTATGTCAACATTTTCTGCTGAAAAAAGTAACCGTTTTACATAAAAAATAGACAAAAATTCTAACTGTATGGTTAGAAGAATCTGTATATTTCAGTGGTTCAAAAACTCCAGGGAGCATTTGAGACCTTGCTTTCTAGCATATATTGCCAGTTTAGCTCAAGTAAACTCATAAAAATTCTCTACAGGTCTGGACATTTCTTTTGCCACCATTTACTTGGCAGGATTCCAAAGGAAGCCCACTCAGGACTACACTATGGACCAGCTCTGGTCCTAGGCCCCCCCAGTTTCCAGGTTTTGCATTGGTGAACTTGGATGAGTTTCTTTCAGATACCTGGGCCTCTTTGCTTTAAGTAGCAGGCCATGACTTTATTTGAGCTGTTCTCAAAAATATCCTCAAGGTGGACAAGGGTTGAGATAACCAAGGGAAAGGAAAAAAAAACACACAAGTTTCTGTTTTTAATTGTACTGTTTACTGAAAGTTGAAACAAAATGAGAGCCTGAACTCTCTTTAGCTCCAAAAGAGGAAGGACACTTGCTTCCCCAACCTTATAGCCAATGGGATGACAATAGTTGTTCAGAACCCTGAATCCAAGGAGTTGTCTAGTACGTTAGCCCAGTCAATCCCCAATCCAGAGAAGCCCGGAGTACTGGGGAGAAGGGCAGAGAGTCCTGGAATGGATTCATCCTGAGACAGGGGCCTGAAAGAGGGGTCCATGCTAATCTGATGGTTCCAGCATTAGGTAAGCTCTCACTGGTCCCTGCTCAGGTATTCTTAGCTAAGAATCTCTGTGGGGTTGGGTAAGGAAAACTTTCCTCTAGGGCATAAAGTGGTACTTATAGGGAGATCTATGACAATTGGCTCATCTGGAAACATACACATAAGGGCTGGTTTTCCCTCTAAGTTTGTTTAGACTCTACTGATCTCATAATTAACATGGGAAATTGGACCTCAGAGATGGACAAGCCCCACAACAGTTGCTGGCCTCCCATTAATACTAAGATGGAGGATCCCTTGATATTTCTAAATTAATCTTTTGCACACATAATTAGAAAAAGCTGGCTATATATTAGGCAGAATGAATGGAAAACAAATTTTATTGGTCTCTCAAAGCTTCAAAAGAGGATTTAGATAAATAGATCAACCTATGATGTCATATAGGTGTCAATTTAATTCTTTGAGGTATTAATGGCTGTCCTTATTTTAAAAAGTGGAAGGTCATTTGAAACTTGACTTGTCAAAGACAGATATAAATTGTAAATGCCTGGAAGACAAATTTGGATCCAATTGTTTGTATCTGTGTGTATATAGCTATATATGTATGTTGTAAATGTGAGATAATTTTTTACTTCCTGATGGTACTGTTCAAGCCAGCACTTCTAAGGATTGGGTATTCTAAAATTCTCAGAAATATAAAACTAACTCAAATGCTTTTCAAGTTCATGTGATCTAAGATTAATCCTTAGTAGATAAAAGTTAGCTTAATTTTGCTGGTATAAGTAAAACAGACATCTTTATTTTGCCTGAGTTTTACAAAATAAATCCAAGTTAATAAGTGACTTTTATGTCTACGAAAAATGTTTCTAGAGTTTATCAAATGCCCAAGCTAAAGAATGCTAATTGATTACTTGTTAGTTTTCACTAGAAATTGAGGTTTTAAGGGTTAAAATACCAATATATGTAGCAATACTTTGTGTTGTTTCAGAAAGGCCCCTGGAACACAACAAATTTGAAAATACATAGGGAGCATTGTATAATAAGTGATGAAAACTTCTAGGGCAGCGGTTCTCAACCTGTGGGTCATGACCCCTTTGGAGGTCGAATGACCCTTTCACAGGGGTTGCCTAAGACCATCGGAAAACACATATTTCCAACGGTCTTAGGAACCCAGACACCACTCCTCTATCCATCTCCAGGTGGGTCTGTCCACATGCAGATACGCCCACATACAACATGAGGAACTGTATTAAAGGGTCGCAGCATTAGAAAGGTTGGGAACCACTGTTCTAGGGTATATTTTATAAGTAAGCAATGGCTGTATATTAAACAAATAGTCGGGGTTACGGCAAAGCTGAGATGGCTGCTTGGTTATTCCCTGCTCCCTGGTTCCCCATTTCTTTGTTTTTGAATGTCTTCATGCACCACAGTGCATTTTAGTTGGGCACAAACAACGGAACTTATGAGCTGACATTTTTTAAAAGTGATATCTTACATTATTGTCAAGGTTTGATATAGATAATGCCAAGTTGGTTACCACTTCCTTTAACAGCAAGCTCCCAGGAGACAAAGATTTTTATTTTATTTTTTAATTGTTTACGGTATTATAGATGTCCCCCATCCAACCCCTTCACCCAACCCTGGCCCCACCTCAAGCCTTCATCACACTATTGTCTGTGTCCATGGGCTATGCATATATGTTCTTTGGTTAATCTCTTTCCATCCCCCTACCCTTCTCCCCTCTGAGACTTGTCAGTCTGTTCCACACATCCATGTCTCTGGACCTGTTCTGTTCCTCAGTTTATTTTGTTCATTAGATTCCACATATAAGTAAGATCATAGGGTATATGTCTTTCTCTGACTGACTTTTTTCACTTAGCATAATAATCTCCAGGTCCAACCATGCTGTTGCAAAGGGTAAGAGAGCCTTCTTTTTTACAGCTGCATTGTAGATCAGTGTATAAATGTACCAGAGCTTTTTTATCCACTCATCTACTGATAGGCACTTGGGCAGTTTCCAGATCTTAGCTATTATAAATAACACTGCTATTTATAACACAGAAGTGCATATATTCTTTCTGATTGGTGTTTTGGGATTCTTAGGATATATTCCCAGAAGTAGGATTGCTGGGTCAAAAGGCAGTTCCATTTTTAATTTTTTGAGGAAACTCTATACTGTTTTCCATAGTGGTTGTACCAGTCTGCATTCCCAGCAGTGTACTAGGTACCTTTTTCTCAACATCCTTGCCAGGACTTGTTGACTTATTGATGGTACCCATTCTGGCAGGTGTGAGGTGATACTTGACTGCAGTTATAATTTGCATCTCTCTGATGATTAGTGATGCTGAACATTTTTTCATATGTCTATTGGCAAGCTATATGTCCTCTTTGGAGAAGTGTTTATTTAGATCCTTTGCCCATTTCTTTTTTTTCAATACTCACTGAAGGATATTTTTCTATTTATCCTCAGGTAAGAGTGGGGGGAGGGGAGATGGAAGAGAGAGAAACATCGACATCAGAGAAACACACCGATTGGTTGCTTCCCACATGACCCTGACCGGGGCTGGAAACCAAACCACAACTGAGTAATGTGCCCTTGACCAGAATCGAACCTACAACTCTTTGATCTATAGGTTGACACTCTAACACTGAGCCTAACTGGCCAGGATGCTTTGCCCATTTTTTAATTAGATTGTCTTCCTGGTGTTGAGTTGTATAAATTCTTCATACATTTTGGAAATTAATCCTTTATCAGATGTATAACTGGCAAATATGTTCTCCCATACAGTGGGTTCCCTTTTCATTTTGTTGATGGTTTCTTTTGCTGTGTGGAAGCTTTTTAGTTTGATGTAGTCCTATTTGTTTATTTTTCCCTTTGTTTCTCTTGCCCTAGATGTACTGGTGGAAATACTGCTATGTGAGATGTCTGAGATTTTATTGCCTACATTTTCTTCTAGGATTTGTACGGTTTTGCAACTTACATTTAAGTCTTCTATCCATTTGAGTTTATTCTTGTGTATAGTATAAGTTAGTAGTCTAGTTTCTTATTTTATTTCATTTGCACTTATCTTCAGATAGAGCGGAAGGGAGAGAGGGAGAAAGAGAGAGAGAGAGAGAGAAACATCGATGTGAGAGAGATACATTGACTGGTTGCCACCCACACGACCCCAACCGGGGCTAGGGACAAACTGCAAATGAGGTACATGTTCTTAGCAGGAACTGAACCCAGAACTCTAGTCCGAAGGCCGATGCTCTAACTGCTAAGCCAAACCAGCCAGGGCAGTGCTCTAGTTTCTTTATTTTTAATCCTCACCTGAGGACATTTTTCCATTTTTTGTTCAGACAGAGTGGGAAGAAGAGAGAGGAAGAGAGAGAAAAAGAAAAACATCAACATGAAAGGAACACATTGAGTGGCTGCCACCCACACGACCAACCAGGGCCGGGGACAAACTGCAACTGAGGTACATGCCCTTAGCAGGAACCGAACCCGGGTCTCTCTGGACCGACGCTCTAACCGCTGAGCCAAACCGGCCAGGGCAGTGGTCTAGTTTCTTATTTTTGCATGTACTTGTCCAACTTTCCCAACACTATTTATTGAAGAGACTGTTCAGGAAACAAAGACTTTTAAACATTATTGACTGCCACCTGTAGAGTTTGTATACCAGAAAGGGCATCAAGCAAAAGACACTCCCCAACTTCATTGTAAGTGAACTTATCAGGAGCCTAATACCAAATGAACATCTACCCCTATTTATGGACATAAAGACCCCTTGAGGCCGAGAAACCATTGACACCAGGGGCAGACAGCTATATCAAGACATCGACAAGGCTTCTATATTTATACGTTGATATTAAACTCAGACTCCTTTTTGTTTGATTGTTTTCACCTTTTTGCTAACAATATTAGTCATAATAATTGTTATATACTTGTTCTTTGGGTTTTTCTATACAGTCCAACTATTTCTAACTACTGAACATGCATAACTACTAATACTCTTTATACCCTGGCCGGTTTGGTTCAACAGTTAGAGCATCCGCCTGTCGGCCAAAGAGTCGCAGTTTGATTCTGGTCAAGGGCACATACCTCGGTTGCGATTTTGTCCCCAGCCCTGGTCTGGGTTGTGTGGGGGGCAATTAATTTATGTGTCTCTCTCACATCAGTGTTTCTTTCTCTTCCTCTCTTTCCTCTCTCTCTCCCTCCCTCCTTCCTTCCCTCCCATTCTGTCTGAAAAGAAATGGAAAAATATCCTCGGATGAGGGAAAGCAAAAAACAAAAAAAATAAAAAAACAACTCTTCATGTCTATGTAAATGTTATACTAGATGCCAAATACAAAAAAATAAAACAGAAAGTAAAATACTCAACTCATAATAGGATAAAAATGATCCACAGTGTTTCTTCACAATGAAGGCCTATAAGACCATATAACTTTCCATTTACCTGCCCTTCCCCTTTTGGGAAAAATTCTACCTCAGCTCAGATCCTATGGTTCCGGTACTGCCCCACCCCTTTGGTCAAGACAACATTGACACTGAGACTTCCTAGGAATAAGCCTCCCTAAAAGCTGTGAGACCACACTATCCAACCAAAAGTCTGGTCTTCAATGCATCCTTCTAATTGATTTATGATCAAATGGGGAAATTATAGGCAAAAAAGGGGGGGGTTCTATGGAAAGTAACCTCTCAGGGTGATCTGATTATAAATTCCTAACTGGGCAGAGTTCATGGGAAGTCATGTCCCAGGCCTATAACTTCTTTAGTGAAAGGTTGTTGCTCTTGTGCAATTAGATTAAATTAACACACCTTTGGAATACCAGAAGATAGAGCACATAATCTTATTAAGTATCCTGTAATCCAATCCCTGCCTTGTTTTTCCCACCTCCATGTAATCTTCCTTATGTTCCCTCCTTAATTTCAAATGCATAAACAAAGATGCAAGACTGTTCTCCTACAGAGTATCCAGGATCTTGCTCCTTGGCATATGCTGTCAGTTTGGTTAAAATAAACTCTTATAAAAATTCCCAAAAAATTTTTAAAATTTTATTTGTTAAATCCTCAGCATTTTTCTTAAGCATATCATGTGTAGCATTTGCTATTTCCTACTTTCATCTACTTTTTAACATATCTAAGCATTTTACCTGAAAGATAGAAGAAACCAAGGATGTATAATTTGGTAGCTAAGAGACACTTTTTGACACATAGACCTCAAGATAATTACATTTATTCTTCTAATCCTATAGAGAAGGAAACTGAGAACTAAGTTAACTTATTTCCACAGGTCTCAAAGTTTGTTGTTTGTACATACAGAACTGAATTTTATTATTTGTTAATAGCCCGGCCTTTTGGCATTTATAATTCTAATAACTTTCTATTTGATCAAATAGTCAACCTTCTCTCCAAAGCCTTTTTTAGGCTAAGGAAAGCAGGACTGACATACAGAAAGTAATATATACTACAACAGATTTTCTTGTCTAAGATTTATAATCATTACAAAGCTTTCAAGAAGCAAAAGCAAAGTTTATTTAAAAATCCATTTAAAATAAACCTCATTTAAAAATACTTCCATTTAAAATATGTTCTATCAATTCTTAGAGAGTTTGCAAAGTTTTATAGAACTCACTCACCAAAAGTTGTCCCACCAGCTTCTTCACATTCTGCCCCATTTCTGGGGACTGTGATCCACTGCATGCTAGTTTTATTAACATTTCAAGGAAGTTCTTACATTTCTTCACATTTTCTAGCTTCGTTTACATATAGAAATATAAACAAACACTCATAAATGTTAGCTAGAAAACAGTTTTAAAAGATTATAAAGAGCTATATTTCTGTAAAGTGCAAGTGAGAGCTTACCGGAGAAAGATTAGTCTGAGCAGTTGCTGAGTTCTCTGCTTTGAGACTGGGCTCATTTGAGGGGGTGTGTGATGCTCCCAAACTTGAAGGCTTCAGGTTAGTTACAGTATTCAATGGTTTTACAGGAGTAACTGTGACAACACTGGTTGGCACAGCCACAGACTGAAATGAAAAGGAGTATATATTTAGATATGTATTACTATGACATGTATCATAGTGGGTGCCTCATTTCACTTATCAGACTATACAAATGGACTTGAAACAGTTTGCTTTTATGTTATGTAACAGTTATAAAAGCTCTGGACTCTAGCAGATCTGGGTTTCAGTCTCACCTACATACCCACCTCCTTTTCATTGACACCTACAGAGTGTTGAATTCAGGCAAGTTTCTTAATCCTGCTAACCCTCTGATTCCTGTTTATAGAGACACAAGAATAGCCAGGCTGGTGTGGCTCAGTGGATTGGTCAGGGCTCGATCCCCAGTAGGGGGCATGTAAGATGCAGCCAATTGATGTTTCTCTCTCACATCGATGTTTCTATCTCTCCCTCCCTTCCTCTCTCTCTAAAAAAATCAATAAAAACGTATTAAATACAAAAAAACAAGAGTAACAATGGTACCTCCCACCTTAAGGTTTTCTGTGAAATACAATGCCAAGCACAAACTCCTAACAAAATATTATTAATATGTCTCTAAAAAAGATTTGAAATAGTAAGCCTTTTTATGAAAATATAGAATTTCCTGTTCTGTAATTCTCTGCTTTTTCATAAGTATATAGCAGAGAGATTTACTGGTCATCTTATATTCAGATAAATTGCTTTTACATAGACCATAAGAGTAAGCATTACAAGTATTATGAAAGTGATATTTTATTTTCATACTAAAACGAATCTCAGTTGCTTCTTCCACCCTCTATTGAAATGAGGTGTGATTATAGCACCACCTGCAGGATTAAAAGTTTCATACAAGAAATCACAAGTCAAGTAGTAAGTTAGAAAACCATATTGAAAGAAAGCAACAATCTTATTTTAAATTACAGAATATGAGTAAAGTTTTGGAGTGTAGAGAGAATAGTATTTACAATACACAAATAAAACTGACCACTGCACCATCATTTTAATTTAAATGCTTGTTTTCTACAGGCATACAGCACAAAAACATTAGGTTGCTATCATTTTCAAGGAAAGTTCCTTCTGTAATAGTAAAGATAGGTAAATTTGAATGTACAACAAAATTTTACATTTTAGAAAGATTGGAGCACGTATTAGACAAGGATTTTTTGAGGGTGAAAATGAGAAAAAAATTAAAAATACTGACTAATGATGGTGGCTACAACTAATGATGAAATGTTAAGCAAAAATGGGGGAAAATAAAAAATTGAACCTAAATTAGTACAATTTTATTAAGTATGACCAGATCTCAAAGGCAACAATGAAAATTACATCTCCCTCATAATCCAATCCTTAGTCCTGCTCTCTAAGGACATCTAATATACAATTTCCTCTGAATCCTTTTGGAGATTTTCTAATAAACTTCTTTAGCTTTATGTACAGCAAATAAATACTCTTTCTTCAGTGAGTCTATTTTATATTTAGTCATTAACTCTTTATGCTACTATATTTAAGAGATCTGGAACTTTAGCTGGTGAGTATGATTATATGATTACATGATTACCTTTCAATTCCAGTAGAAGGGGGTTCCTCCAACGAGTTTTGTCCCTTTCCCTTACAAGCAAAATAAGGCCCAATGAAATGGAAGTTCAGGAAAAGTCCTATTTTTTTAGTAGAGGATGCACTTGTGGCATTTCCACTTTCCTTGTCAATATTTTTTCTGTCTCCAAGACAAAAATCTGTCTTTCACGACCCTACCAGACACATGCACTTTCCATGCGAATTCCACCTCTTAAAAGGCATGAAAAGGTACATAATCCCAGTCTTTCTCTACATAATCTCACAGCCATAATAGACGAAATGTCTTAAACTCAATCATAACTCTGACTTAGACTCAATATAGACCAGCCAGTGGTACTTCCATGCTTTGCAAGACTACACTGGCACTGACTAGGCATGTCTGGGCAACAGGAGATAAAAGACCTGGGTATATGTGAAATAATCTGAAAAATCAGTTATACATCAAGTCAGTACAATGAGTTGTATGTAAATTTACCATAAATAACTGCGTTTCAAGGAGGGTAATTTTCTATACCTGTCTGAAAAAGCAATCGACTTTGAGTTTGTTCATTTATAATTAGAAATACTAATTCTAAATGTAATCATTTGCATATTATATTCCAACCTACCAATGAATAAAGCTGAGTCTTCATCATCAAATACAACATAAAACTGAACAAAGATTTCAAACCAGTTCCTGTGTTATATTTATTAGACCAGACCATGTTTTAAGCCATTTTAATAAATATTGATACCTATTAATAGAAAAATACTTTTCAAAATTTCTTAACACACATTTGTCTTTCCAGTCAAGTACAAAGAGTTCTATCTTCTCTCATTCCAAGTTCTAGCTCCTTATTTTCAAGAAATGCCTAAAACTGAGATGCTTTATCCCTCAGAGACACAGATATTATTCATTAACTCCACTGTTTGATTATTTCTATTGCTTTAGCCTACCAAGGAGGAACAGCCCAGCTTAAAATATGCATTGATCTAAAGTAGGAAAAGTTATAAACAATCCATATGGAAATATCAGTGGTAGACATATAGGTGAAAAAATAATCCAAGGAAAATAACTCAACAACTCACATATACACTTTAGGAACAACTATAAGTACTAAATCTTTGAAAAATAGATCCAATGAAAAATGCATTCTCAAAGTACTGCTGAAGTGATAAAACCCTTCCATATTATAAATTTTTTAAACTTCCTATTTTTCTGAAACCTCAACATCACAATAGTCTCAGAGCACCCCATCCAGGCAACTACTTATACCAATGTAATAAAGCTGGTCCCTGCTACAAGATCCCCCTCCTGTCCCCCTCCAACTATGACCTAGTGACATTCAAACACACCAATGAAATTTCCTCGTGCCTCTTGCTTATGTCCTCTATACCAGCCCTCAATAAAGCCCCTTGCTGCCTCACTGTTTCTCAACTTCCCACCTGTTTGGTTGTGCCTGCTATCTGGGTGCTCCACCCATATGGCCTGCACAGGGGTCACACTTTCACCAAAGGACATAATAAGAGTCCTTATAAACTAGATGCCATGGCTGCTTCCTGGGCACTTCAGGTTCCTTGTGTCCAGGGACCAGGAGACAGTGAAGAGTCATTATCATGATGGGGTATAACTGCCCTGACATCTGGAATAGGTAGGGTTGCTATTACACAATGGAAACCAAGAAGAATATGTGTAGTAAGGACAAGTGATCCACCTAGGTGCCTTTTGATATCTCCTTGCCCAAGTGCAGTGACAAATGAACAAATGCAGCAATTGCCTTGAAAGACCATGATGATTAGGACCTCTTATCCCTCAGGGGTTAAGCTACCATGACCAGCAGAGTTGGTAGTTGAGGGTAAGGGGAATCTGGAATGAATAATAAAGGAATGAGATGATGATTACCAATTGCAGCAGTGGGGACTATAATTCATCCTACTAACTTCATCTTCCTTGTTTCCCCAAGGAAGTAATCCACTGGAATCCCAAAACTGCAGGTCTTCAAAAATGTATGAAGAAGCAGATCCCAGTAATGCAAGGAGTATACTGTGTGATGCCATCACAAGAAGAGATCTGTATTGTCCTAGATGCTGGAAATGCTATTAACAACCTGTAGTTGTCAGTTCCTTCATGTTTTAACTCGGCTGCAGAGAATTACCTTGCTCAAGGGCACAACTCTCTTCAGAGAGTCCACATCCAATGGGGGAATTAAGGCCCAGTCAACCATGCTGGCACACAATGGAACTAGTGACAGTCCATATTTGCTCCCAAGTTCACCAGTTTCACTAAGGCTTTATTGGGCTTGAATCTAGTTCAAACTCTTACTTACTCTCCATTCCTTTCCACAGGTTATCAATCCCTAATAAATACCTATACATCGCAATTCTTTTCCAGCACCTGCTTCCAGACACTGTGACACATGGCAATTTGATGCGTTTGTATTAATTCAATATATTCAAGCAAAGTTGATATTCCAAGAATCTACACAGCGTTTATTTTGTGTTTCTCATACCTCCAACAGTTACTAGTTTGTTAAGTGTCATCATATACCACTAAGTTGCTCTCTTCAATGTCACATAGTCAGCAACTTATACATCTGGCAGAAGAGAGCTAAATAATACAGAAAGATGGGAGAATAACCAGTGCACACATGGCCACAAGTCGGTCACAACTTACTTGTACTGAGGAAGGCTTTGAAACAGTGGTTACCACAGTAGTTCCCATTTGTGCCAACTGTTTAACAGGTGCCACTGCCACTTTCTTGATTAATTGTGAATTAGAATTCTGGGGGGTTGGGAGAATAATACAGAGTCATCATTAGTTATTTAAAATCAATCAGTACTGTGGCAAACATTTAAACTTTACACAGAAAATGTCTTTGTTGTAACTGGCTTTATAACCTTATACATTTTTACTATGAACCAAACTGGTCAACTGGCCAGTTGATATTCATTTCATATACCTATGGAGGCAACTGATTTAACAAATAAATATCACAGTATTTCAGTATTTAAATCTTAAACTCTACTCTTTGGTACACACAGAAAACATGGATTCTCATTTGCTATCTAATTATAAACAAAAATCTGCTAACCTATCTTCTCAACCCACAGCAGTTAGATAAAGCAAACTAGAAAAGGAGGGAGTAGTTATCATTGACTGATACAGTAGCAAAGAAAATGACTGGTTGAGAACCCAGAATCAAATTAGAAGAGTACAAAATGGGATCAGGGAGATTTAAATTGGCAGAGGATATTACCACAGAAAACAGTGCAATCTTTCTTTAGGATGGGCCTGACTCATCAAGAAAATGCTATACTATATTCAGCAGTTTCTGTTTAACCAAAGAAAGATGTCCATAAAAATATACATATATTTTAACTCTGGCACACAAGATAAGCTTCAGGTACTACAAAGATCATCATGCATGTAAAATCAATTATTTCTAAACAATGACATATTAATAAAACATTACAGCAGAGTTCTGAATTTCTTAAAGAATTCCTATAAGATATGGATAAAAGTGAATACTAAACTGTAGTCTTAATATTTTGCCATAAATCAAAATGGAAGCAGAATGGTTTTCTTTCCATCTAGAGATGCAAATAGTTCTTTGAACATTCCTGAAGGACTACAAAGTCTCTGAGTATGAAGACTAAATTTTTGTTTTAGTAATCACCAAATGTCTTAATTAAATTAACATATATTCAGAGTAAGTAGCTTAATTGAAAAAGTTGAACAAAACCATCCCTTCGATTATTTTTACTGGCAAATACATATACATTTATATGAAGATAATATCTGGAAAACTAAAAAAGACAAAAAAACCCTTTAAGGTATTATTACCGGCATCGTACAGATTTTGACTGTTTGAGTATTGGTTGGTATAGCTGGCCTTGAAATTATGTTACTTGTGGTCTCGGCTCTTGTTACAGCTTGCTGAGGAGATACCAACATCAACTGACCACTGTTACTTTTGATCAAAACCGTTCCTATATTTAAAAAGAAAAAAAAAAAAAGTGACCTAGCTAATAAATAAAGCATAATATCATATATTTCTTCTATTTCTTCCAGTAATTTAAATGGTTTTAATAAGTGATTATACATACTGAATACCATGTCTACTAATTATTATATATGGTATAAAAATATTTTTACTCAACACTACTTAAAATATTTAAAGTCTAAGCATATGACTAAGACTCTTTTGGAGGAGGCAAAATACTTTTTTCTCCATAACATGAAACTATTTATAAAGCTACAGTAAGATGGTATGGTAAGGACACGGGACTATACAAACTGACCAATGGAATAGAACACAGAACCCCCAAAATAGACTCTCACAGATATGTAATATCACATTTTCCTAAGAGACACTGTAGATCAATGAGGAAAAGAACGACTATTCAATAAATAGGGGTAGGTCAATGAGTTATCTACAGGGAAAAGATGAAAAGTGTCACACCATACACAAAAACCATTAAGGACACAATGGTAAAAAAGTAAAACCTTTTAAACTCTTAATGTAGAAAATTATCTTTCTTAACTTAGAATAAAAATTTCTTAAATATGTAATATTTGATACATGCGACTATATCAAAAAAACTTTTTTTAGCAAAAGACACCACCAGATAAAAAGACAAACAACAAGAGAAAATATTAGTTCACATATATTAAAATGAGGAATATCCAAAATGCACAAAAGGAATACAGATGTCAATGACAGGGAAAGGTTAATTAAGACCACAGTGAGATATCACTTTATATTTACCAGATAGACAAAGATTAAGAAGTCCAATAACATTATTAAGTGTTAAAGAGATATGTAGCAACAAGAACTCTATTTTGAGGGTGGTAGTATAATCTGATACAACTTTTCTTTTTTTTGCAATTTTTATTAATTTATTTTTGTTACAGAAGTTTCTCCTTCCCCGCCCCCCTACACAACTTCTTTGTTCAACTCTATATTAGTAGGCCACACTGCTTTCCCTTTCATACTGTTTAACCCAGTAGTTCTAAATCTAAAGACATTCTTATCCATGTCAGTAGAAGGCACAAGCAAGAATATCCATATTCTAAAATGGCAGCATTAACAGCAAGCGTAACTGGTAAAAATAATTTTTAAAAACAACCATTTAAAATCTTTGAAAATTGCCCTAAGGCATACAGAAACTGATTACACAATTATTAAAGAAAATCTACTAAAACTCAGTATGAACAGCAAGAATCTGCTACCATCTAAATCACAATTCACTTTCCCTTTTCAGTTCAACAAGACAGAAACTCTACTCCAGGCAGTGTGGCCAATCAGAGCCTCCCTTCTCTCCTAAGCTCCTAGTCAAAGGCTCTGGTATCTTCCTGGAAGAAGCAGGCCACCAGCTTATCTCATCTTCCCCACCCAAGGCCATATACTGCACAGGACAAATATGTCCAACAGGTTCCACCTTCTTTCACCCATCCCCACTCACATATGGAAGACTCTACATCAGGGATGGCACAAAGAATATTTCTTAGTTCTTTCTTAGGGTGGAGGTACCATGCTGGGAGAAGTAAGTAGAGAAGAGCAGAGACACTACCATCCATGCCCAGTACTCACTTCTATAGCAGGGATATCATTTAAAGAGAAGCATGCACAATCATGTTACCTGAAACTGTTTTTATTCCAGAGTGTGGGGAAGCTCAAGGCTAAAGACACTCTTAAATCCAATGGAACAATTAAAAGGATGGTAGCTTCATGACAGATACAAACTAAACCATAGGGCTAGCTCTAGTTTACCACAGAGAACCAGACAAAGAGACAACTAAGAAGAGCCCTCCAGGGATCAGAACAAATCTCAATGACCTTAAAAATTATCCTTGTAAAGGAGACCAAATTTTAATTAAATCAGACTATGAAGCAAGTTAGGCCCTAGGATATTGTTGGAAACAATAGGGTAATCAATGAAGAGAGACCAACAGCTGGGACTGGGCTTGACACCAGGAGAGGCAAACAGCTTTCCAGAGAGATCAAAGAAAGAGAGCCCTGCTACAACTACTGCCATCCCAGCCAGGGTGGCTGTACTGATGCCCAAGGCTGTGCCCTCTAAAAAGGAGCAACATCAAAGGCTTCCCATTGCAGAGAAATAGCCTTTTCCAAAATAATCCAACCAGATGTTAAAAAAAAAAAAAAAAAAAAAAAAGCAAGCATACAGTAATACACTCAAAGTAGTAGAATCCAGTATCTAAAATTGCTACAATATGTTAATTTTGAACAACAAATAACAAAACATGCAAAGAAAAAAGTGAGACACGAGAGAAGAAAAAGCAGGCAACAGAATCTACCTTGAGAGGGATGAGATGTCAGATTTAACAGACTTCAAAGTAACCATTATAAATATGTTCAAAAGCCAAACAAAACCCATGATTAAAGTAAAGGAAGGTATAATGATGATGATATCTCATCAAATAAAAAAATACCACTAGAGAGACAGATGTAATTTTAAAAATTAGTTTAAAAGTACAATAACTTAAATAAAAAATTCACTAGAGGGCCTGGACTTGAATGGGCAAAAGAAAGATTAGTGAACTTAAAGACAGATTATGACCCAGCAATTCCACTTCTGAGAATATATCCACAGAAACCTGAAACACTAATTCAAAAGAATATATGCACCCCTATATTCATTGCAGCATTATTAACAATAGTCAAGCCCGGGCCAGTTTGGCTCAGCGATTAGATTGCCCACCCGTGGACCAATGAGTAGTGTGTTCAATTCCAGCCAAGGGTGTGTACCTCGGTTGCAGTTCAGCCTGGCCCTGGATGGGGTCCTGCAGGAGGCAACCAGTCAATGTGTCTCTCTCACATTGATGTTTCTCTTTGTCTCTCTCTCTCTTCATCTCTCTCCCTCCCACTCCATCTGAACAAAAATGGAAAAATATCCTTGGGTGAGGATTAAAAAAGAAAGAAAGGAAAAAAAACAATAGCCAAGATTTGGAAGCAGCCCAAGTGCTCATCAGTAGATAAGTGGATAAAAAAGCTTTGGTCCATCTACACAATGGAATACAACCTAGCCATAAAAAAGAAGGAATCTTAACTTTTGCGACAGCATGGATGGATCTGGAAAGTATTATGCTAAGTGAAATAAGCCAGTCAGAGAAAGGCAAGTACCATATGATTTCATCTGTATGTGGAATCTAAGGAACAAAATAAACTAACAAACAAAACAGAAACAGACTCACGAAAACAGAGAACGGACTGACAACTGTCATAGGGCAGGGTAAGGGTTGGGGGGGGATGGGGCTGTGTGAAAAAGATAAAGAGTTAAGCAAACACAAAAAACAACTCATAGTCACAGACAACAGTATGAGGATTACCAGAGGGAAAAGAGGGGGTTGGGGATGATATAAGAGGGTAAAGGCGGGATAAATGATAATGGAAGAAGACTTGACTTGGGGTGGTGTACACACAATACAATATACAGATGATCTATTATAAACTTGTACACCTGAAACCTATATAATTTTATTAGCCAATGTCACCCCAATAAACTCAATAAAAATGAAAAAAATAAAGCCCATCAAAAAAGACAGATTAATAGATTAATAGAGATTATGTAATCCAAAGAAAAGAGAAAAATGAAGAAAATAAACAAAGGCTTAGAGAAATGTGGGCCATTGCTAAACACACCAACGTAGGAATAACATGTGTACAAGAAAGCGGAGAGAGAAGGAGATATAAAGAAGCAAAAAAAAAAAAAAACTCAAAGAAACATACCCTGGCCGGTTTGGTTCAGCAGTTAGGGCATTGGCCCAGGGACCAAAGGGTCACGGGTTCGATTCTGGTCAAGGGCATATATCTTGGTTGTGGTTCGATCCCCAGCCCTAGTTAGGATCGTGCAGGAGGCAACCAAGAGTGTGTCTCTCTCACATCAATATTTCTCTCTTTCTCTCACTCCCTCCGATTCTATCTGAAAATCAATGGAAAAGTGTCCTCGGGTGAGGATTAAAAAATAAAAAGAAATGCAAAGAAACACTGGCTAAAAACTTCCCAAATTTGATTAAAAAAAAAAGAAATCTAAACATCCACATAGTTCAACAGATTCTAATTAGGATTAATTCAAGAGATCCACACCAAGACACATCATAGTAAAAATGTTCAAAGACAATAAATCTTGAGAGCAGCAAAAGAAAAATGACTTATTATGTATAAAGAATCCCAACAAGATTTACAGCTGACTTCTCGTCAGAAATAATGGAGGCCAGGAGGTAGTAGGATGAAACATATCAACTGCTGAAAGAAAAAAATCTGTTAACCAACAATGAGATAGATATCCACCAAAAATATCTTTTAAACCTGAAGGCAAAATAAAGACATTCACACATAAAAATTGAGAAGATTGGTTGCTAGCAGGCATACCATAGAGGAACTACTAAATGAAGTTCTCCAGAATGAAAACAAATGACCCCAGACAGTCATTTGAATTCACATTAATAAAAAAGACATTGATAAAGGTAATTATATAATTTGACAGTATTAATGCATATAACTTCTCCTTTTGTCTCTTAACAGCTTTAAAAAACAAGTATACAGCCCTGGCCGGTTTGGCTCAGCGGTTAGAGCGTCGGCCTGTGGTCCAGAGAGACCCGGGTTCGGTTCCCGCTAAGGGCATGTATCTCGGTTGCAGTTTGTCCCTGGCCCTGGTTGGTCGTGCGGGTGGCAGCCACTTGATGTGTCCCTTCACGACGATGTTTCTCTCTCTCTCTCCCTTCCTCTCTCTCCCTCCCACTCTATCTGTACAAAAAATGGAAAAATATCCTCGGGTGAGGATAAAAAAAAACAAAACAAGTATACAGAACAATATATACATAATTGGATAACACAGAAATGTAATATATTTGTAAATAACAGTACAAAGGAAGAGGGTAAGAGCCTAGGTGTATTGCACTATGAAACTGACTTCAGATGGTAACTCGAGTCCACAGGAACAAATGAAGATAACTAGAAATGGTAAGT